GTTCACTTCAACATTTGAAAATGGTTTGAACTAAACACACTTTGATTTATCAAAACATTTGTAAAATAGTAATGATAATAGAAAAGAGAGTGTTCTTTCAATTGATCAGTTCAGGACACTTTAGAAAGTCTCTGGATGAACTTAATCTTGTGTTTCTGGACTCAAATCAATGAAATACAGTTCTTGTTCCAGGCAGGCCCTCAAGGCCAGATTTTGACCTGAGGCTTAGTTCACTACACTGATGACACACAATTATATTTGTCTATTAAACCCAATGAATCCAATCAGCTACTTAGACTACAAGCATGTCTTAAATACATAAAAACCTGGATGACCCTTAATTTTCTCCTGTTGAACACAGACAAAACTGAGGTTTTGGTTTTTGGACCTGAGCACCTTAGGAATGAATGTTTCAGTCTTTCTCCCTCCTTAGATGCATTAATCTGTCCTCCAGCTCTAATGTTAAAAATCTTGGTGTTATTTTTGATCAGGACATGTCTTTTATCCCCCACATTAAAAACGTTACTAGAACCTCCTTCTTCCACCTGCGTAATATCACTAACATTAGAAACATCTGATCTAAAGATGATGCAGAAAAACTGCTCCATGCATTTGTCACGTCTAGACTGGACTATTGCAATGGTTTATTATCTGGGTGTCCAAATACTTCTTTAAAACGTCTTCAGTTGATCCAAAATGCTGCTGCCAGAGTCTTAACTGGAGTTACTGGGAGAGATCATATCTCTCCAGTTTTAGTTTCTCTCCACTGGCTCCCTGTCAAATCCAGAATAGAATACAAAATCTTACTTCTAACCTACAAAGCTCTCAACAACCTAGCTCCATCTTATATTACAGATCTTATTGTTCCATATTTTACTAACAGAGCACTTCACTCTCAGGCTGCAGGTTTTCTTGTAGTTCCTGTTGGGCTCAAGGTACCCAGTTAGTAATGAGACCCAAATGACACAAGACTCAATTGAAAAGTGCACAGTTATTTATTTACAGTGGTTCTATATACATATATACATGTTGGTTGGCTGGAACCCCTGGAAGAGGAAAGGCACGGTCAGGATGGTCAGGCAAGGAGGTAGTACAGGAAATTGATTGTGTGGTCTTGTTTCTTCCTTACAGGTGGATTTGCAGAGTTACTCTGTGTTGAGTCCAGGGTTTCCAGAGAGGTCCAATCCAACAGGCAGTTCAAGGCAGGCGAGTGGCTGGAGGCCAAAAGCACAGGGAACGAGACACAGGACCAAAAGCGAAGCAGGACTGGATCCAAATAACAGGATGGCTGTAAGCACCCAAAAACAAGGTAAGTTCTCTTTCATCAACTCTAGTAATACTGGCTAGAAGCATAAATACCAAAAGTGGAATCAATGCTCCAGCAAAGAGTAGAGCTTGACTGCAACCTTATGAAGAGTGGAAGCTCATCAGGTAGACGACCATCAGCTGTGGTTAATCAGCGGCCATCTTGGGGCTGCAGCAAGTGCTACTCTTACAGTTCCTAGAGTTTCCAAAAACAGAAAGGGAGGAATATCTTTCAGTTCTCAGGCTCCTCTCTTGTGGAACCAACTTCCAGTTTCTGTCCATGAGGCTGACACATTATCCAGTTTTAAAACTAGGCTTAAGACTTTCCTTTTCGCTAAATCCTTTAGGTAGGGTCGGCTTGGGTTTCCTGAGCTGTCCCTTAGTTATGCTGCTATAGGCTTAGACTGCTGGAGGACAAACTGACCACACTTTTCACTCTGCTACTGTCTTTACTTAATCTGCTCAACCTGTTTTCTATTTGTAATTATTTTTTCTATCATTAACATGTGCTTTTGTCTTTCAGATACACCTGGACCTGAACCTATATCTGGACCTACCATTCTGTGTTCGTCTGTCTCTCCTTCCTGTCCTCTCAACCAGCCAGTCAAAGCAGATGGCCTCTTGTCCTGTGCTGGTTCTGCTGGAGGTTTCTTCCTTTTCCTGCTGACTATCCATGCTGCTGATTTGTTTCATGTTGCTGTGCTCATTCATCCTGATCTGCTCACACTGACTCATGTTCATGCTGCTGTTGTTTGGTGGATTGTTTTGTACTAGTAGTGCTTAGTGTATTCTTAAGTCATATTACATAGGATTGGAGACTAGGATGAAGTGAAGATTCAACTTGTCTGCTGGATTCCTTAGATAGAGAACTTTACTAATTGGCTTTTATGTGGATGTTCCTGTAAAGTGCCCTGAGACAACTTTGTTGTGATTTGGAGCTTTATAAATAAACTGAATTGAACTGAAGTTCCACTTCAGTGTCATGACAAAAACGCCGTCTTTGAAGCAACAGAGTAGCTCACGTCTCCTGACTGCATTATAACATTTACCCCCCCCCCCCCACCCACACACACACACACACACACAACACACAAACACACACGCATGCTCACAGTCATTCTTATTTATAATTCAAGGAACTCTGGTCATCTCTTACAGCTCTTCTGGGAAGTAAAAACTGAACTTTGTTATAAACTACAAAAGCTGCTCTTGCTGTCTTTTTATCACCCACTACAAAAAGGCTGAGTTAATGTTTTTACCCATGTCTCAGTGTGTGTGTGTGTTTGTGCGTCTGTCTGTTTGCAAACTATTTCATGAACCATGATCCATGTTTTTCCACTATGGAGAATGCTTTTTGTGGGAATCAGTTTGTTTGGTGACTCCTCAGATTGAAGAAGCCCTTTGGATGAAGGATGAAACGTCTCAGCAAAAAAATAATCCATCCAGATGACCTGTCAGAACATTATTCGATTTTTACATAGATTGTTCAGCATGAACTTTGGTGATTCATGAACCACTTGGATAGGTTTGGCAGTATTGTAGTCCCTCATTTATTGCAGGTGTTCCATACCCTGAAGCCTCGCGATAAGTGAAAGAACGCGAAGTAGGAATAGTAGTACAAGTAGTAAATAGTATTTATTTTTGTAGTTTTAAACCCTTCCCACCCTCTTGCAATATTCTAAACAATGTTTCTAAACTCTAAACGCTCTAAAAGAGAACAGCATGTCGTGATTTCCCTCCCTCTGCCTCGCTGCTCGGCCACCTGCAAGTGCTCTTGGCCACGCCCACTTCTCCGCTCTGCACGGAGAACAGCTGATCAGCTGCAGCAGGAAGTTTATCCTGCATTATGGGCTGCAAGAAGATGCAGAAAGTGATAAATAATTTAAAATAATTTATTTTAAATAAAAATTTCATTCCGATTGTGCAGCTCATCCATCAATCGGCCAATTGTGTGTCATGTCCAATCTTATTTAGAAAAACTGATAGAGCGAGTCTGCGATAAACAAACCGCGAAGTTGCGAGGGATTACTGTATTGTGTAAGACTTTGTTATTTCTTAATTTTAAGAGTTAACCAAAAAGATATTACCATTCTAAAAAAAGTTTAAAATACTGGCATGAAAGGAAGCAGGAGATACACATTCTTTCAAGAAATTATATATTTTATTATTTTATTTTGACCACATCATTTATGCTGACGACATTTGTGTTCAAAGAGAAAATAATCTGTTTGATTAAATTCACTTGTGGTGCAATTCTCAGTTTCTAATGAAGCAATGCGAATGTGGAAGTGATAGCTTCAAGCTTTTATTTAGTAAATCTTGGTTAAAATCCAGACAGAAGGAACATGAGCATCTGAACAGGAAAGATGCTACATAACAAAACACTTTCCAAGACAACTGCAGTAAAATGGATGTAAAACTTTCAAAAAGCAGAATGATAAAGCACGTACCCTTATTTGCATGTGCAGCTTGTATTTATATCCAGCACTAACCCTTGTTTTGGACTCTGCCAAAGTGTGAACTGAAAATCAAAGGTTCAATCAGCTCTTAGCTGTGGGTAACGGACACTCATGTATCTGAGCCTCATCCACTGACCCTTCTGGCAGATGAACAGTCATTGTACAAGCACGAATCCCGCCCAGTGGCTCTAATACATTGAACACCCTGTCCCACACATCCTCCTCTGGGTCATATCGCTGGACAATGTCAACCATGCATCTGCTGTTCCAGGAATACCCTCCAACCACATAAATCTGCCCGTTGAAAACCGTCACACCCACATCGCTCTGGCCCCGAGGCATTGGTGCCACTACTGTCCACTGATCTGTGTTCGGGCTGTAGTATTCACAGCTCAGAACATCATCATAGTCACTGGTGCCTCGGAAATGATTCCCTCCCATGACGTAGAGTCTGTCACCCACTGTGCACATGCAGTGCAGGCCACGGAGCTCCATCATGTCGGCCCGCCGACCCCATGTGTCTGCAACAGGGTCATAACACCACAGTTCCTTCTGGAAGGTGTCCCGAGTGATCCCACCTGTGAGACAAAGAAAAAAGTTAAAGAGAGGAAGAATAAGAGACATATTGAACTAAATAAAGTTCAGTATGTCTCTCAAATAAGACTCAAATAAGAGTAAAAGCTCGAATACCAACGTTACAGTGTGTAAATACTCAAACAAAACCATGTCCAATAAAAAACTTCTAGTTTTTTTTAATGATCCGGGTTGTAAATTATTATAAAAGGTGGTCTGGGCATCTGGCCAGATTCCTTTTGATGGACTTGTTGGGGGATATTTGACTGAGTGGTTAAAGCAGTCGTCCACCAGTGGGAGAATTGGGGGTTTGATTCCACCAGCAGTCACATGCTGAACTGTGACAGCACTATTGTAATTGTTTACTATCTGGGTGTTCACAAACTTCATTAAAAAGTCTTCAGCTGATCAAAAATGCTGCTGCCAGAGTTTTAAGGAGAGTTGATAGTAGAAGTCATATCTTTTCAGTTTTAGCTTCTCTCCATTGGCTTCCTGTCAAGTCCAGAACTGAATTCAAGATCTTACTTCTAACCTACAAAGCTCTCAAAAACCTAGTTCCATCTTATGTTGGAGAAATTGTTGTTCCATATTTTCCTAACAGAGCACTTTGCTCTCAGGCTGCAGGTTTACTTGTGGTTCCTAGAGTTTCCAAAAGCAGAATGGGAGGCAGATATTCCAGTTCTCAGGCTCCTCTCTTGTGGAACCAACTTCCAGTTTCTGTCCATGAGGCTGACACATTATCCAGTTTTAAAACTAGGCTTAAGAATTTCCTTTTTGATAAATCCTATAGTTAGGGTTGGCTTGGGTTTCCTGAGCTGTCCCTTAATTAGTTACTTAGGACCTATATCTGGACCTGGACCTATGTCTAGACCTGGACCTATATCTGGACCGGGACCTATATCTGGACCTACCATTCTGTGTTCGTCTGTCTCTCCTTCCTGTCCTCTCAACCAGCTGGTCAAAGCAGATGGTCTCTTGTCCTGAGCTGGTTCTGCTGGAGGTTTCTTCCTTTAAAAGGGAGTTTTTTCATTTCCACTGTTGCCACTGTGCTTGCTCAGGATGGGAGACTATGATGAAGTGAATATTCAATGAGTCTGCTGCTTCCTTAGATAGAGAACTTTATTAATTGGCTCTTCTATGTATGTTAATGTTCCTTTAAAGTGCCATGAGACAAATGTGTTGTGCTATATAAATAAACTAAATTGAACTGAATTGAAGTGTCCCTGGGCAAGACACTTACCACATTCACATTCATTCATTGCCTCCGATTCGAGTCCCATCGATGTATGAATGTGATCTAAAGCACTGATTAGTCTCTTTAGAATGAATGGTTTAGATTAGCTTTGTAGCAGTGTAGTAGTGTTGTATGAATGTGTGTGTAGTAGAGTACTTCAATTCAATTCAATTCAGTTTATTTATAAAGTGCCAAATCACAACACAGTTGTCTCAGGACACTTTACAGGAACATTCACATAAAAGCCAATTAGTAAAGTTCTCTATCTAAGGAATCCAACAGACTTGTTGAATCTTGGCTTGGTTGCAGTCTCCCATCCTGAGTAAGCACAGTGGAGACAGTGGAAAGAAAAAACTCCCTTTCAACAGGAAGAAACCTCCGGCAGAACCAGACTCAGGACAAGAGGCCATCTGATTTGACCGGCTGGTTTGAGAGGACAGGAAGGAGAGACAGACGAACACATAATGGTAGGTCCAGGTATAGGTCCAGGTCCAAATATAGGTCCAGGTATAGGTTCAGGTCCAGATATAGGTCCAGGTGTACCTGAAAGACAAAAAACACATGTTAAGGGTAGAAAAAATAGTTACAAATGCAAAACAGGTTGAGAAGAGTAAGTAAAGACAGTAGTAGAGTGAAAAGTGTGGTCAGTTTGTCCTCCAGCAGTCTAAGCCTATAGCAGCATAACTAAGGGACAGCTCAGGAAACCCAAGCCGACCCTACCTAAAGGATTTAGCAAAAAGGAAAGTCTTAAGCCTAGTTTTAAAACTGGACAATGTGTCAGCCTCATGGACAGAAACTGGAAGTTGGTTCCACAAGAGAGGAGCCTGAGAACTAAAAGATCTTCCTCCCATTCTGTTTTTGGAAACTAGGAACCACAAGTAAACCTGCAGTCTGAGAGCGAAGTGCTCTGTTGGGAAAATATGGAACAATAAGATCTGTAACATAAGACGGAGCTAGGTTGTTGAGAGCTTTGTAGGTTAGAAGTAAGATTTTGAATTCTATTCTGGATTTGACAGGGAGCCAATGGAGAGAAGCTAAAACTGGAGAGATATGATCTCTCCCAGTAACTCCAGTTAAGACTCTGGCAGCAGCATTTTGGATCAACTGAAGACGTTTTAAAGAAGTATTTGGACACCCAGATAATAAACCATTGCAATAGTCCAGTCTAGACGTGACAAATGCATGGGCCAGTTTTTCTGCATCGTTTTTAGATAAGATGTTTCTAATTTTAGAGACATTATGCAGGTGGAAGAAGGAGGTTCTAGTAACGTTTTTAATGTGGGGGATAAAAGACATGTCCTGATCAAAAATAACACCAAGATTTTTAACATTAGAGCTGGAGGAGAGATTAATGCCATCTAAGGAGGAAGAAAGACTGAAAAATTAATTCCTAAGGTGCTCAGGTCCAAAAAACCAAAACCTCAGTCTTGTCTGTGTTCAACAGGAGAAAATTAAGGGTCATTCAGGTTTTTATGTCTTTAAGACATGCATGTAGTCTAAGTAGTTGATTGGATTCATTGGGTTTAATGGATAAATATAATTTTGTGTCATCAGCATAACAATGAAAATTTATCCCATGTTGTTTAATAATTTTACCTAATGGAAGCATATATAAAGTAAAGAGTATTGGCCCTAGCACTGAGCCCTGAGGAACTCCATGACTAACTTTGGTGTATGAAAAAGATTTATTATTTACATTTACAAACTGGTTTAAATAATTTTAGAGCTGTTCCTGTAATCCCAGCATCATATTCAAGCCTCTGTAGTAAAATATTGTGATCAACTGTATCAAATGCAGCACTGAGGTCTAACAGGACCAGTAGAGACACAAGTCCATTGTCTGAGGCCATGAGAATATCATTAGTGACTTTTACTAGTGCTGTTTCTTTGCTATGATGAGCTATAAACCCTGACTGAAACTCTGCAAACAGATTATTTCTTTTTAGATGTTCACGCAACTGACCTGCAACTATTTTCTCTAGAATTTTTTAGATGAAAGTTAGATTAGATATAGGTCTATAGTTGGCCAGAATTTCTGAATCAAGATCAGACTT